CAGGAGGAGGGGTCCAGATGTAGGAAAGTGGATGCTGGCCAGATGGAGCACCTCTGGTGAACGGCTGCAGGGGTTAAGGGGCTAGAACATGAAGAGTCCAACAGGCATGGGGGGCCCCTCCTGGGCTCCCCATCTCCAGCTCAGAAAACACAGCCTGTCTTGCACCTTCCTGTCTTGCAATAGCCTGGAGGTGCTTCAGGGCATGAAGGTTCTACCTAGGGAATCCTTATCTCTGTCTCCAGAGGAGGTCCTGGCTAGGGGGTCTCTAGGTTCCCCAAAACTTGTTTCCGGAAAGACCCGGTCTGAGGTTTCCGGGGTCTCCTCCCTTCCTGGGGAAGGGGTCTTGGTGGGATCCCGGGGTCCCCAGCCCCCAGGGCCGCTACTCACCGTGGGTCATCACTGTACTGCACTGTGGCAAAGCGCACACCCTGTGCACTGGCTGCTCCAGAGAAAGGCAGCACCAGCCCTTCGAGAAAGCTGCGGACCTCGCGGAAATTGCTGCGGCCAATGGATGAGGAGCCATCCAGTAAGAACACAATGTCAGCGGCGTAAAGGCGCGTGCAGGTCACTGGGGCGGGCAGAAGAGATCAGGGCCTCTTCTGGGAGGCCAACCACCCGCCTCCCCGCACGGTGGCCTCGCTGGGACTTGGGATGGTGGGGAGAGTAGGCCTCATCTTATGCAAACCAGGGCCGAGTCGGCCTGAGCCTGGGGGCCTTGGAGGGAGTCGAGCTGGGTGGGTCCCAGAGCAGACTCCCGCGGGGGGTTGGGGTGTGCGGGGGAGGGAGAGTCGCCAGCACGGGTGTGGACTTGGGACTGAGGTCAGCCTCTAGGGGCCGGCGCCGATTGACATAAGGCAGGGGACCCCGCGTGCATCCAGGGAGCCAGAATTTGAGTCGGAACAGGATAGGAGGCAGTTTAGGGAACCCAGCACCGACCGCGGAGGGTTCGGGGAGTCCCAGAATTAGGAGGAATCCTCGGGGAGTCGCGGAGTTGGCTGGGTTGTGGGCGGGGGGGTGTCGGGGATGAAGGCCGAGTGGAGCGGAGGGTGACACGGTGCAGTACCCCGGGCCGGGTCCTCCCTTGCGGTGCCCACCTCTCTCCCTGTGCTGGGCTCGCACTCGGGGCGCCCCTGCCAGGATCCCGGCGCAGAGCGCGGCCACCAGAAGTCGCAGCCTCATCCTAGTCGGTAGAAGCAGTCAGCTAGGACCCCCGCCTCTGCCCCTTGCTCCCCTGCGGCCTTGGCGGGTCCGAGCCCAGCGCCCCTCCAGCCCGAGTCCTGGTCTTGCCTGCGCGTCCGCCCGCTCCCGCCGCCGCCGCTGCAGTCCCGCGGGCAGAGCAGAGAAAAGTCCCTGATCTCGGGGGGCGGAGCGGCAGGCGGGGACCCAGGCACCCGCCCTCACCCACATCCCTGAGAGGTCGCCGCCCCCACCACCCCTCCCCCAGACAAACGATATGACGCACTTAACTACAAACCCACCGACCCCCCTTGGCTTCTGGGAATTTCCCAGAAGGTTCTCCATGGACAGATGCTGAGGGAGTACCCCTAACTCCATCTAAGGTCACAGGTCTTGGCTGCTTTAGGTCAATCACAGTGACCAGGCTGAGGAGTGGACAGGTTCCTGCAGAGCCACAAGGCAGCAGCGCCGTGGGGGGTGGGGGCTGCAGCTGAGGATGACTCACCGCCAATCCGGTGGGGGTGCCCAGACAAGCCCTCAGGCCATGGGTCCCGCCGGCCACTCCTGTGATTCAGCCATCTGTCTGGTGGGCCTCCTGAGCCCCACCCCAATCTCCTTGACAGGAGAGAAGCCCTGGCAAATGAGTGACTCTGGGCCTGTCTTAGGGAAACCAAGGTCCCCTTGGCCTAGATCCAAGTAACTCACCCTGTCTTTGTAGGGGATAAGCCAGAAGGAGGAGAGAACCTGTGTCATGCTTATGCATATGTCCCAGTGTCCCACACCCTCTACCATGTCCCAGGCAGATGCAATCCAGCTGTGCCTGAAGGGAGGGGGCCGCCCATCTGTGGAGAGCGGGACCACCCACAGTGACAGCTCATCTCTCAGGAATCCAGGAATCCAGCCCTCCATGCCTCAGGCCGGGTCCCCCTACCTACATGTCCTCACCCATAGGCATCCCCTCATTCCATCTACTTTTCTTGCAGGTCCCTGCCACCCATCTCCCCCACCAGGCCGAGGTCTCCTTGGGCCCCTTCCTCCTTTCCTCATTGCCCTCATGGTACCTGTAGCTTCTGGCTTCATAACTGCCCGCTACCTTACTCCTCTCCCCTTACCCAGGCTGACTTCCCACCCTCCTCCAGCTTGGCTTCTGAGGCTGTGGACAGTCCCCCAATACACCAGACCAGGGCCACTGTCCCAAGGAGGTGGGACTTTGTATATGCGTATCTCTTCGTTAGATGGGTGACACTAAGGCAGACAGGCACCCCTAAGAAGGGCAGGCCTCCATCTGGGTCCTGCTCCCCCTTTTTTTCTGCTAATCCTGAATAACTCTGGGCAGCCCAGAAAGCACATCTATACTCACCAAGGCTGCTGGGCCCCTTCTAATATGCCCAGCCCCACAGCCTGAGGACTCCGGTGTGGCCAGAGCTGGAGGCAGTGAAGACCATCCATGCTGCCTGCTTTCCTATTGCCCAAGGAAGGCTGGGGCTATTCCTTATTACTGACCCCCGAAACTATCCTGGGGCACAGTGCTGTGACCCCATGGGGCCTAGAACCTTATTCCAAGGTCAGAGTCTCCTCAACCATGTCCCAGGACCCCCCATCCCTGCAAGGTGTGCTCCAGGTGAGGGCTGCAGAGAACCACATATGTTCTCATCACACAAGCAGCCCCTTCCCACTAAGACTGTCACTTCCTCCTGCAGAGCCAGGGCGGGCGAGAGCAGGCCAGTGGCACAGACAGTACAGTACAGACATATGTGCACACGTGGGCCAGCCTTAGGGGAGACAGGAGGCCCAGCTGGGAGGGTGGGTGCTCAGGCAAACCTCATCAGAATTGAGGTGCCCCCAAAAGAAAGGACAGGTTGCTGTGAGAGGGTCTCTCAAAGGGTGCTGGGAGAGGCTGTTGGGAAGGTAGGAGTAAGGTTGGAATGACTACATGTCTGGAGCTCCTATGAGGCTTATGAGCAGGAATGTGGCCCTCTGAGGCCCCGGCTCTGGCCTCCTGGGAGGCACACAGCCTAGGGCACAGCCCCAGAGGCCAGTACCTATCTGCAATCCCATCAGGGCAGTGGAGCCCCCAGAGCACATCTTTCTCCCTCCCAAGCTTCCCTGAACATTTCCTTCCCTGGCCTCAGTCACTACCTCTCCCCATCTGTTTCCAACCAGGGCCTCTTTATCAGGTGCCAGCCCCACACATCCCACTGTGCCCTAGACACCACCAAACTCCTCACTGGACTATGGAAGATTACCCTCCTCCAATCCACTCCTGCCCCTGCGTCTCCCAGCCCTGCTGGGAATGTAGTCCTCTTTGTGTCCCCTGCAGCTGGCTCCAGCTCTTGTGTGGCCATGACCTCTGCTCTGCCACAGCACAGCTCACCAGGACTGATACAGAAATGTGGCCCGAGAGTCCCCATGCTGAATCTCAACGCTGACCAAGTCACTTCTCTTCATGGTAACCTCCACACACCTCCCCAGCATGGCTCCAGGGTAAAGACCAGAGTCCCTGGTTTGGTATGCAAGGTCCCTTAGAACCAGACCACTCCCAGCAGCTCAAGCTCTCGTGACCAGCACACCTGTAGTCTCTAAGGGCCAGGCTGGGCTTACAGATGAAGCCCCATCCTCCAGGAGCTCAAACTTGGCAACAGACTTGGCACTTGTTCCCCTGCCTGGGTGTTGCATCTCCACGAGCACCCAGGGTTGGGCCTGTCAGGGTTCTGCGCTGCCCAGCATCTTCTCTCCAGCGGTTCACAAAGTAGAATGATCTGTGCAATGCCCTGGTCCCGGACCATAGAAGGTGCTTAACAAATGTCTCCGAATTGACAACTTATGGCACCCAATGGTGAAGGAAAGGCACTGGGGCAGGGTGAGAACGGTACAAGGGTTCCTTGGGCTACTTCCAAGCTAGGATGCCGGGGGGACTTCTCAACAGCCCTCTTCTAAACGACCTTGTCCCAGCACCCTGCTTGTGATTGCCAGGCAGTGACTTCCTCAAAGGAAAACTGGGCCCCTCACTTTCAACTTCCCCCTGGGATCCCAGAGAACCTGATTGTGGAAGCACTGGGGGGTGAAGGAGGAACGGCCTACCTGCCCACCCACCATGGGGACCAGAATCCAAAGAGATAACAGAGGGACTAGGTAGCTAAGAGCTGTACCGGGTCCTGGCAGCCTCAGGAAAATGGGGAGGGGATTGTCAGGGCAGCAGCTCTGGACTTGCCTGGGACAGATGTAGTTGAAGGAGGGGGCTTGGGCCCCACTGAGCTCAGGGCTATTCTTGGAGCCTGAGTCAGCGGAGGCAAAGGATTCTTGCCCTGCTTGTCCAGGCAGCAGTTAGAAACCAAATGGGAACACTATGCCCCAGGCTATCCTCCTCCCAGAATCCAGAGTAAACACACGCAAGAGGCATCCTTGGAGATACCCCTTGGCCCCTCTGGTCCACCCCAGCAAACTAGAGACCACCAGGGGGTGACCTGGCACAAGGTCCACAGTGAGGGGTTTCCCACCTGAGCCCCCAGGGATTCCAGGCTGACTCCTACAGGGGCAAAGGCTGGGTTTACACTTCCTATGGACTCCCATAGCCCACTCTTGGGACCAGCTGGCTGAGGAACATCCCCTAAGTGGCTGAGTGGAAACATCTGGGCTCAGCTCCCTGCAGGCATCAAAGACTTCCGGCCTCTGCTGCAGCCCCCATGCTTGCCCCTGGCTGAGGACACATCAGCCTGTGGGAAGGCAGGAGGATCCAGGAGCTGCAGAACTAGAGGGAAGTCCTTGCTCCCCATCTACTGCCCCATGGACTCCATGTCAATGCCAAAAGAGGGACGACACATTTCTCAGCAGAAGATTTTATTGGTGGTCACCTGCGGCACAGGTTAGAGGAGCCGGAGTGCTGTGTTTGTGGTGGGGGGACCACGAGCCCCAGCCCAGCTCTCTTGTTTACACAGGCTTCCCGCCTAGAAGCGCAGCCAGAACATGCCGCTACGGATCCGGTTGTAGTCTGGGAGCTGCTCAATGGGGCCTGTGGGGATAGGGTGGAGCGTCAGGGTGGGGTACCTGGCCTGCACAGGGACACCTGGCCCTGCGCCGCACCCAGTTCGGAGCTGCTGCCTAGAGCAGCACAAGACAGGCTTTGAGTGGAAAGAGGGAAGAGAACATTCCCCCAGGGGTGCTGAGCCTGTCCCTTCATGTTCTGGCCCTTGAAGCCCCACCCCACATGGAGGTGCCCGTTACCTGACGGGTGCAGGGTATTGATGGAGGCACCCTGGCAGGCAGTCAAGGAACTGCCGGGACAGGTTTTCTGAGCAAGAACTCCCTGGCAGCCAGGGGACTTGGGAGAGCTGCTTGGGGCCTTAACTGGCTGCTCTGTAAGCTGAGCAGCAGTGGGGGAGCAGAGGTGGAAGGCGAGGCCAAGAGAATGGCCTGAGGAAATAAACAAAGAGCAGATCCCCTAGGCCACTTACCATATCCAGCCACCGCTGGGCACTGGTCATAGATGTACTTGGAGCAGATCTCACGCACCACACTGGCATCCACCTCCTGCAGGGTGAGGCAGAGGACATACTAGCTAACAGGCACCTGGCCACCACCTCAGCCAGTCAGCATCATCCAACTAGCTGAGATCTCCCACAGGCAGCATGCAGCTGTCCCCAACCCAAAAGGGGAAAGGCGGAAGGGATCCCTGCTATAGACTTCCATGGGCCGCACCCATCTCCACAGCCATCAGCACCTCTGCCCTGCCCTCCCACTATGCTATCCCTGCAGGTGACAGCTGCCTAGGACACCAGGGATGCCTATAGGAGCAGGCTCTGCTGTGCCAGGCCCCAACGCTGCACCTCCAGGTGTCTGTCAGGTCAAGATTCCAGAACCTCTCCCAGGGGCCCATGTTACCGCAATCCGGCTTTCCCATTCAGCCAGGGGGATGCGGCGGCCATAGGTCAGGAGGCTGCGACCAATGTCCTCACACACAGGAGTAGTGCCTTTAAGGATGGGGGAGGGCTCAGAAGTCCACCCAGCCCAATCCTGGACCCACAGGTACACAAACAACTTCCAGCCTAAGGTTGACAAGGACCTCCCTGACCTCATGCTGACCCAGATCACAGCCCTCTCTTCTGTGGTCACCTATTATGGCAGCGATGGGCTGTGGACCTGTCCCACACCTGCCTGCATCTCCAAGGGTGGGGTGATGGGGCACAGTGTGGTCTTCAAAGTTTTCCTTTCTAACTTTGGTTAGTTAGGAGTGGTGGCCACCTTGGGGCTGTCGCTGGCAAGATGCACTCTATCCCTCCCCACTGAGCTGCAGGACTCACCATCTAGATGAGATACCAGGGCATTTCTGAGGATGTTTTTGCCCCGGGCCACCTCACTCTCCGTGGCACTGGTACACAGGCGCATCCTAAAGTCGGAGGGGGCGGGGGTGGGTGGGTGGTGTTCACTTTGAGCCAATGTGTCCTCTCTCAGCCTCCCACTGCACTGGTTAAAGCCGCCATCCCACCTAGGAGTACCAGGCTGCCACTTACCACTGCCCTTGCAGGACGAACATCATGTCATCGATTTTCATTCGGTCACAGACAAAGTGTGCACCCAGCAAACCCGTGTCTGCATAGCAGATGCTGAAGGTCTGGAAACTCTGGCATAGCTTGTTGGCCACGGCACCTGAAGCCAGTGGGCTGGACAGGTGCTGCCAGGGGGATAGGTGGTCAGCACCCACCCTCTTGTCTTCAACCCATACTGTGACCCCCACGCACAGAAGCACACAGCCCCAGCACCCTCTCTTCCCTGAAGGTGAGGTACCATGCTCACTCTGGCACTCACCACGCCACCACCGTAAGTGCAATCATAGTGGCCGATGATGGCATTGGCCACTTGCAAGGCCACATTGTCCGGGCTGGCCCAGCCAGGACCCTCTACTGCAATGGCCACATGAGCAAAAGGTAGAGCATCGTCACGGTGGCGGATCTGAAACAGTATATGACAAGGTTGAGGGACAGCCAGACTGCCGGGGGAACAGAAAAGGTGGGTAGAGGGTGTACGTGTGTGTGACCATGTGTGCCTGTGACGCAGAAGCCAGAGAACCCCTTCCCAACTGCTGAGGTATCTCTGGAGTCACCAGGATAACCATGCACATGGGGGTCCTCCCACAGGCCCCCAGCTGAGCACTACCCCGGCCCAACAGGCAGCACACCTCACTGCCAGTGAAGCGGCACGGAGTAAGAGCAGGCACAGTGTCCTCTGCGTATGTCCAAGGGATGTCACCAAGGTGCTTCTGGGCAAGGTCTAACAGTTGCTGGTGCTCCACTCCTGCTGAGACAGACAGTGGCATTACTGACCAGCCAGGGCCCAAAGCACAGGGTGCAGGGGAGTTCACAGACAGGCGGAGGACCCCCATGTCCTGTCTTAGTGGGAGAAACCAGGAGTATGTGACATTAGAACAGGGTGAGGAAAGAAGGTCCTCCTCAGACAGACCCTGCCTTGTGGACAGGACAGACACCTCAGGGCCAGATAGCTCCCACGGCCTCAGTCCTAGAAGAGCAGCAGTGCTCAGAACTTCAACACGGGCTGCCATGTGATGTAAGTGTGGGTTCTCACTTGAGAAGGTGCATTCCACCTATATCAAGGACAAGACTGGTACTCCTGGGTACAAAGCCACCTGGCCTGCCTTTTCCCTCTAGCTCTCCCTCAAGTATTTCTGGCTGCTGGCCCGGCAGGGGGTGGCAAGTGAGGGGGCAGAAAGAGGTGCTATTACAGGGCTGTGATAAGGTCTGGGGTCCCCTGAGAGCTGGGGACATTTGCAAATAATGTTACAAACGTATACCCTAGGACTCCTTGGATCTGGCCTCCTCACCTCCACAAGAGGACTCTGTGGTGCCACCAGTTACGCTGGCCTTTTTTTTCCCCCCCAAGACGGAGTCTCGCTCTGTTGCCCAGGCTGGAGCACAGTGACGCGATCTCAGCTCACTGCAAGCTCCGCCTCCCGGGTTCACGCTATTCTCCTGCCTCAGCCTCCCAAGTAACTGGGACTATAGATGCCCGACACCATGCCTGTCTAATTTTTTTGTATTTTCAGTAGAGGCAGGGTTTCACTGTGTTAGCCAGGATGGTCTCGATCTCCTGACCTCGTGATCCGCCCACCTCAGCCTCCCAAAGTGCTGGGATTACAGGCGTGAGCCACTCCACCCGGCCTGTGTTGGCCTATTTTTTTTTTGTTTTTGTTTTTTGTTTTTTTGAGACGGAGTCTCGCTCTGTCGCCCAGACTGGAGTGCAGTGGCACGATCTCGGCTCCCTGCAAGCTCCACCTCCCAGGTTCATGCCATTCTCCTGGTTCAGCCTCCCAAGTAGCTGGGACTACAGGCGCCGGCTACCATGCCCGGCTAATTTTTTTGTATTTTTAGTAGAGACGGGGTTTCACCGTGTTAGCCAGGATGGTCTCAATCTCTTGACCTCGTGATCCGCCTGCCTCGGCCTCCCAAAAAGTGCTGGGATTACAGGCGTGAGCCCCTGCATCCTGCCCTGTGTTGGCCTTTTATTCCTTCCGTGAGCTCAAGCCCTGCTAGTCTGACAGACATGTCAGACTGCTGTTACCCCCAGGTTCCTCAGCTCCAAAGCCCCGGTCATGTTCATCCTATTGGTCTTTTATGCATACTCAGCTGCCAAAGTCAGCTCAGCTGGGAAGCTTCTTTTTTTTTTTTTTTTTGAGATGGAGTCTCATTCTGTTGCCCAGGCCAGAGTGCAGTGGCACAATCTCAGCTCACTGCAACCTCCGCCCCCCGGGTTCAAGCGATTCTCCTGCCTCAGCCTTCCGAGTAGCTGGGATTATAGGTGCCTGCCACCACGCCTGGCTAATTTTTGTACTTTTACTAGAGACAGGGTTTTGCCATGTTGGCTAGGCTGGTCTCGAACTCCTGACCTCAAGTGATTAACCTACCTCGGCCTCCCAAAGTGCTAGGATTACAGGCGTGAGCCACCACGCCCAGCCAAGATGGGAAGCATCTTAACCTCAGTTCCTTACCCATGTCCAGACCCCAACCAGGTTCCATCTATAAAACCACCTGGAGTACATTTACTGCTCCCCCTTGCTGCTGCCATCTCCTGCCCAGTCCCTACCACAGCCCCTCTCTAGCTAGCCTGCCTGCACTGTGACCCCACACAGCAGCAGAGCAAACCTCAGACCATGACATGCTCTTCCCCTGTGCTCAGTTCCCCATACCACCTAAGTAACACTCACCACCTTTCAGGCTTCTGTTCAAACTACAGGTGCTTTAAAAAGCCCCTCCCCCAACCTACAACTCTGAGGCCCCAGTGAAATCTCCCCGACCCCTCTGTGCCTTCCTTTCAAGGCACTTCTTGGTCTGTTATCAGGCATGCATCAATACACAACTAATGGCTGGCTCTCCCAAGGGCAAGGCCACAAGGAACAAGGCCAGGGGCTTACATCCCCTACCAGCCCATAAACTCAGTATCCTAGGACTAGGTGGGGCTAAGACAGACCTGTACCAGAGGGACAGCATCCTGTTTAACCAGTCCCAGTGGTGGCAGCAGGGTAGACTCCTATCCCACCTCAGACAGCACAGGCGGAAGGTCATTCCCCTCAAGGTTAGGGTGGGAGCAGGGTCCCCTGGGGTGGAACGTCCCCTATGGTGGGAACCAGGACCTTGGCTTTGATAACCAAGGCTAGGACCCCACTTCAGTGAATCCATCACTCACCTCCAGCTGCTGCCAGCACCATTCGAGGGGCCTTGTAATGAGTGCTGAAGTACTCGGTCAAGTCTGCACGAGACAGCTTCCTACAAGACATATGGCCAGTGTGTCAGCACCTCTACCACACTGGAGTGAGTTGGGGTGTGTGCGTGAATGGGACGGAGGAGGCAGACTAGGAGAGGCATGGTTTCTCCAAAGAGTGGGCCCTAGCACACCCCCGACCCCCTTTCCCCATCTCTGCCACCCACCCCTCCAAGGCCCAGAGGGCAACCCTCGTCTGCCCTTGCCTCATGCCTGACCTCAGGACAGGCTCATAGTCTTCTCTGAGAATGTGTGAGCCAACACTGTGGGACTCTCAAAGGGCAGTATCAAAGCTCCCAGAGCCATCACCAAAGGAGACAAGAGACCACATGGAGGGGACACCCAGACACCCCGCCCTTGGACTGTCAGGACATGCACCAAAACATACCTTAAAACAAAGCCCAAAACTCAAGTGAAGCCCACAAAGCCATTAAAAAAGACTCACTGGACCACATGGATATAGAAACTGTCTCCAATCGCATGACTCAGGAAAATAACCCCGACAGACAGTTAGCCAACTAAAAATGTGACCTGGAAAGGGTCTGGCCAGGCGAGAATGGGGCAAGCATCCCACCACAAGCCCAGCCAACTCTCACCTGACATTCTCACTGGGCCCCTCCACAGCCTGGGCTAGAGGTGTGCCCTGGAATGCTGTGGCATGCAGGTAGTCAAAGACCACGTCTCGCATAGATGCGTCATTCTCCTGCATCTCCCGCAGGATCACATCACGTTCCTTCTCGATCTGTGAGTCTTCCAGACTACAGTTCTGCACAATGTCACCCAAGAGCTCCACAACTAGATGCAAGGAGGACATGTTTAGGTGCCAGGTGGACCACTGGAGACCAATGACAGCACAAAATCCCCAGGCCTGGCATCTCCTGCTGCCCACACCTAGTTGCCCAGCTGCAAAGCCATACGCTAAGGGTAATAGGATTCTGTGGTCAGCCAGGGACTCCTGGGTAGCTGTCCTCTGCTCCCCTGCCCTCTGCCCCACCTCTTCCTCCAGGTGTTACCTTTTGGCAGATCCTTGGACAGCGCCTTGATGTAGTAAGCTGTGTGTTCCCGGGTGCTGTAGGCATTAAGATGGGCCCCCATGCTCTCCACCTCCTTCTCCAGGGCACTGCCAGGCCGATTCTTTGTTCCCTGGAATCAGATATCAACCAGACCAATCAGAAGCCACACAGGAGCCCAAGAACCCTGTCCTCAGAGGCTAAAGATCCAGCAGGACCACTGGTCCACAGGTACCTCCCTCAGCATAGACTCTGGGGACACAGATCCCAGAGTCTGTGTTTACCAAGTACTAAGCAGGCCTTGTGGTGACCAAGGCCATGGCATCATGGGCCAACAGAATAGAGATAACCAGGGTGAGGACAGAAGGGCATGGCCAGACCAAGTGTTTCCTAAAGCTCCTGTAACACCTTACCAACAAGCAGTGGGGTCATTACCAGTACACCTCCCCCTTCTTATTGACAGCCATGGTCAGGTAAGCCCACACCTGTGTTCAAGTGATACAACCCACTCCTCCCATGCCATTCCCATGACTGTATGTGTCTGTTTATACATGCTAGTGGCCACCTCTGTGGGACCCAATCCTAGTCCTATGTGTGGAGAACAGTGGTGCTCTCTCTTGGTTAATACTGCACACATACCCGTGACATTGCAGCTGGCTGGGTTGCCCATTAGAGCTCCATGGCCCTGCCCACCCCAACCAAGGGATGCCCAGGTATTCCACCACAGCAGAACATTTCATAAGCAAGCATGTACGTCCATGTCTGTGGGTTTGTTACAATGCACGTGCATATCTATGTGTGTTCCACAGGTCTCCTGTATGCATGCACATAACACAGGCCTGGCTTCTCTGGTGAAAAGTGGGGTTCCTGTGGTTCCTTGGGTCTTCTTGGCTCTGAGGGCCTCATGCAGGGGCTCATCAGATACCTGCCTACTCAGGAGACGTTAAGCTCATGTGGTTCCTTTTAGGAAGGCTGGCCAGACATCCGCCCCGCCACTGAGGCCCATAATCAGGCTATTTTTTCTTTTTTCTTTTTTTTTTTGAGACGGAGTCTCGCTGTGTCTCCCAGGCTGGAGTGCAGTGGCGTGATCTCGGCTCACTGCAAGCTCCGCCTCCCGGGTTCACGCCATTCTCCCGCCTCAGCCTCCCAAGTAGCTGAGACTACAGGCGCCCGCCACCACGCCCGGCTAGTTTTTTGTATTTTTAGTAGAGACGGGGTTTCACCATGTTAGCCAGGATAGTCTCGATCTCCTGACCTCGTGATCCACCCGCCTCGGCCTCCCAAAGTGCTGGGATTACAGGCTTGAGCCACCGCGCCCGGCCTAATCAGGCTATTTTTTTCTGACCTTCACCCTCAGGAGGGACAACAGGCAGCCCTAAGTCCAGAGGAGACAGACTTCAAGAGCCTCACCTTGAAAGCCAGATGCTCCAAAAAGTAGCCTGCCCCATTGTTCTTCTCAGTCTCAAAACGGCTGCCAACATCAATCCACACTCCCACCTGGACAAGAAGCCACCAACAAAGGTTACAAACAAACCACTCCCCAGCCCCCTACTCACACCCCACCTGAGTGACTCAGTACAAGCCCCAGGCAGGGACTCATGAATCCTGGAGTCAGGGAGAACTGCCCCAGCAGGACCCCTGTGCTTGGAGATACAGTCACGCCTGGCAAACAGAGGGCCAGCCGAATGACTAGTCACACTGCATCATTGCTCTCCTGATTGGCTATCAAGGACCCCCAGGGACACTTCTAACTGTGCACATTTACCTGGTCTCACCAGCATACAAAATCCTTAAATTCACTCTCACTTTTCAGTTAATTATTTGTTTTTGTCTAGGCATACAACACATCATTTGCAAACAACTACTTATTTTTTCCTTTCTAAAAATTACACGCTGCCTTTGTTCTGGCAATGATTTGATCCTTTCATCATTAAGGAAGGGACTATTGGTTTAGACTGTATATTTTATCACACTAAATATTGTTCCTATAACACCATTTTGTTGTCGTTTTTAATCAGATCTGGACACCAAACACTGCCCAGTGCTGCCCTGGCACCCAATAAGATAATATTAATTTTCTTTCTTTTTTTTTTTTTTTTTGAGACAGAGTCTCGCTGTGTCTCCCAGGCTGGAGTGCAGTGGCGTGATCTCGGCTCACTGCAAGCTCCGCCTCCCGGGTTCACGCCATTCTCCCACCTCAGCCTCCCAAGTAGCTGAGACTACAGGCGCCCGCCACCACGCCCGGCTAGTTTTTTGTATTTTTAGTAGAGACGGGGTTTCACCATGTTAGCCAGGATAGTCTCGATCTCCTGACCTTGTGATCCACCCGCCTCGGCCTCCCAAAGTGCTGGGATTACAGGCTTGAGCCACCGCGCCCGGCCGATAATATTAATTTTCTTGACAGCCTCCTGGTTGCTGTGAAACGTGCACCACAGGCCAGGCGTGGTGCCTTATACCTGTAATCCCAGCACTTTGGGAGGCCAAGGCGGGTGGATCACGAGGTCAGGAGTTTGAGACCAGCCTGGCCAACATGGTGAAACCCTGTCTCTACTACAAATACAAAAATTAGTTGAGCATGGTGGCACATGCCTGTAGTCCCAGCTACTTGGGAGGCTGACGCAGAAGAATCGCTTGAGCCCGGGAGGCAGAGGTTGTAGTGAGTCCAGACTGTGCCACTGCACTCCAGCCTGGGTGAGACAGAGACTCCATCTCAAAAAAAAAAAAAAAAGAAAGAAGAAAAAGAAAAAGAAACAGAAACATGTACCACTCACCCCACCTGGTCACATGGTCTAGTCTTTCAATTTAGTATTTGTTCACAGCTGATTTAAGTTTTTCACATCTACTTTCCTAAGATACTTTTCTTTTTTGAGACGGAGTCTCACTCTGTCACCCAGGCTGGAGTGCAATGGCGTGATCTCGGCTCACTCCCGGGTTCACGCCATTCTCCTGCCTCAGCCTCCCGAGTAGCTGGGACTATAGGCGCCTGCCACCACACCCGGCTAATTTTTTGTATTTTTAGTAGAGATTGGGTTTCACCATGTTAGCCAGGATGCTCTCGATCTCCTGACCTTGTGACCCACCCGCCTCAGCCTCCCAAAGTGCTGGGATTACAGGCATGAGCCACCGCGCTCGGCCATTTTTTTTGTTTTGACATGGAGTCTCACTCGGTCACGAGGCTGGAGTGCAGTGGCCTGATGTCAGCTCACTCAACCTCTGCTTCCTGGGTTCAAGCGATTCTCCTGCTTCAGCCTTACGAGTAGCTGGGACTATAGGTGTGTGCCACCACGCCCAGCTAATTTTTGTATTTTTAGTAGAGGTGGGGTTTCACCACGTTGGCCAGGATGGTCTTAATCTCTTGACCTCATGATCCACCTGCCTCGGTCTCCCAAAGTGCTAGAACTACAGGCATGAGCCACTGCGCCAAGACTTTTTTTTAATTGTATAAATTTATGGGGTACAAGCGCAATTTTTAAAAGTTTCTATCCACACCCAAAACTCCATTTTTTTTTTTTTTTTTTTTTTTAAAGACAGAGGGCCTTGCTCTGTCACCCAGGCCAGAGTAATCATGGCTCACTGCAACCTCGTATTCCTGGGCTCAATTGATCCTCCTGCTTTGGCCTCTCAAAGCCCTGGAATTACCTGTGTTAGCCACTGTGCCCCGCACACAAGTGCGATGTCGTTACATGCACAGAATGCACAAGTAGTCAAGGGAGTTCAAGACCAGCCTGACCAACGTGGAGAAACCCCATCTCTACTAAAAATACAAAAAATTAGCCGGGCACGGTGGCACATGCCTGTAATCCCAGTTACTCAGGAGGTTGAGGCAGGAGAATCACTTGAACCCGGGAGATGGAGGTTGCAGTGAGCTGAGACTGCACCATTGCACACCAGCCTGTGTAACAAGAGCGAAACTCTGTCTCCAAAAAAAAAAAAAAAAAAAAGCACAAGTAGTCAAATCAGGGCTTTTACGTTATCCATCACCAGAATAACACACCTTGTACCCATTAAGTAATTTCTTCTTTTTTTTTTTTTGAGATGGACTCTCACTCTGTCACTCAGGCTGGAGTACAGTGGCACGATCTTGGCTCACTGCAATCATTATCCACCCTTTCATCTTTCCAAGTCTTCACTGTCCACCATTCCACTTTCTACATCTGTATGTACATATTTCTTAGCTCCCACTGATAAGTGAGAACATAAAGTAATATTTGCTTTCCTAAGAGATGTCAATGCATATATCATAAGTCACACAATCTTAGATGAACATGTATTTCACATCTAACATCTTGGAATGCAAGAGGCATTTTACAATCTACAGCACCCTTTTATCAAAATTGGCAAGATTCTTAAGATTCTCTGCACTGGAACACAGACGGCTCCTTACAATCTAGGACATTTTGAAGTTCATGTAATATAGCATTCTTTACTACAACAGGTGCCATATAACAAGGAAGTTGCAGGCCACCTTTTCCTATGCTTAGTAATAATTTAAATCGCAGGACATTGTTTCTGGAAAACTAAAAGGATGTGTCAATAAAAACATCTGGCCCTGGAGCTGGGGGATGGGGACTGAAGGGAGGAGGAGATAATTATTTCTTGGGAATCTTCTCACCTATTCATATATCTATTTGTGAGTCAAGATTTCTATCCTTGAGTCAATTTTGAGAATTTGTATTTTTTGGAAAATCACACATTTCATTGTACTGTTAAAATTAATTTCTTCCTAAAATGCATTTGTGGTCTAGCCTGGAGATTATGAGCTTGGGCATAATGAGGGTGACAGACCTGGACGCCTGCAAGTCACCTAAGGTGTCTGAATCCCATTTTCCGCATTGTAAGAGGAGACGTGATCACTTCTCTTACATGGGCTCCTTAACAAAAGGCTGGAAAAGAATTTGGCCGCCTACTTGACGGGCATTATATGCTAAACAATGTTGGCTTATAGTGAAGATTGTCCCGTGAAGCCAAGGCGTGGCTAGGGTCGCGAATGGGGCCATTCTTGGGGTGAGTGATCCTGAGTCCGAATCCAAACCATAAACGGGAAGACCCGAGCCCAAGGTCACACCCCAACCTGAGAAAAGATGGCAGGCCTAATCTGGAGGCCCTCTCCCCAGTGGCGTCCCCAGCTCACCGTGCAAGTGGGCTGAGAGGACTGCTCGGAGGCCACACGCAGGCCGTTGTCCAGCAGGCTAACCTGCGTCTCCGGCACGAACTGGAGCGCCTGAGCGAAGGTTGCCGTACTCCGCAAGGCTGGCGTCCGCAGCAGGGTCGGCTGTGGAAGGGAACAGCTGCGAGTGAGGACTCTGTTGGGGAATCGCTCACCACCTCCCAGGTGCTCAGGAGGATGCCAGTCCCCCTCCCCGCCCCCGCCCCTAGGCCAGCGGCGAGGTACCTTCCCCCGCCCTCCTCCATGACCTTCCCACAGCCCTGACCCCGCGTCCTCCCCACCTCGACCTGCCACTGCTAACAGCCCACACCCGTCCGCTTCCCGAAGCCCTGTCCCCTGAAGCCCCGCGCTCTCGCCACCACCTTACCGAGCGGCGGGCGCGCAATAGCACTTGTGCCCCGGAGGTAGCAGCCCGGCAGACCACGGACGCCGCCATCTTCCAGCTCTAGTCGGCTCTAAGTTGCGCCGCGCAAGCGTAGAGTAGGCGCGTTGGCGGTCGCGGCGCAGGCGCAGTATCGTAAAGTTGGCGCTCGGCCGCCTCCTGGCGGGATCCGGGACCGTCAGTTGTGCTGGCCTGGCTTTGGCTGGCTGCCTGGCTGGCTGGCTGGCTCTATCAGTGCCGCCGCCCGTGCCTTCGCACACAGTCCGCCTGCCGTCCATCAGCCCGAGCAGGTTTGCCCGCCGTGCGGTCCATCTCCCCGTTCCACGCGTGGAAGTCAGAGTGCACAATGTTTCTCACCAGCCGCGCTGCGTACTCCGAGTAGAGGTCTGGCGGGTGGGGCGTTGCAGCCGCAGCGTGTCCGCAGGTTCGAGCCCAGGGCTGAAGTACCAGAGTGGAAACTTACCTGGGACCACAAGGCGGTGCTGAAAGTCAGTTTTTTTTCTCTTTATTTATTTATTTTTTATTTTCTGAGACGGTCTCGCTCTGTCGCCCAGGCTGGAGTGCAGTGGCGCGATCTCAGCCCACTGCAGCCTCCGCCTCCCGGGTTCAAGCAATTCTGCCTCAGCCTCCCGAGTAGCTGGGATTACGCCCGGCTAATTGTTGTATCTTTAAGAGACAAGGTTTCTCCATGTTGGCCAGGTTTGCGCCCTGCCAGTTTTCTCTTTAAAAGAATTAAGTAGAGACCGGGCGCGGTGGCTCACGCCTGTAATCCCAACACTGGGAGGCCGAGGCACGTGGATCACTTGAGGCCAGGAGTTGGAGACCAGCCTGGCCAACATAGTGAAACTTTTCCTTTCCTGTAAGAGGAAAAAGAATTCTAGCTGGGCGCGGTGGGTCAGGCCTGTAATCCCAGCACTTTGGGAGGCCGAGTCGGGCGGATCACCTGTCAGGAGCTTAAGACCAGCCTGACCAACATGGAGAAACCCCATCTCTACTAAAAACACAAAATTAGCTGGGCGTGGTGGCGCATGCTTATAATCCTAGCTACTCGGGAGGCTGAGGCAGGAGAATCACTTGAATCCGGGAGGCTGAGGTTGTTTGCCCAAGATCGCGCCATTTCCAGCCTGGGCAACAAGAGCGAAACTACGTCTCAAAAAAAAAAATTCTAAGGTATGCTTTGTTATGTCAACTAATGAAAAAAAAAAAAATCAAGCTTTTAAATATTTAAAGTTAGTTCTATTCAGAAGTCTTACTGTGAATTACAACCCAGGAAAGCCTTTCAGGGAGTTTCTGCCAGATTGCTCCAAAGCAGCGTTTCCGACACAGCTTATACACTAGTGGTGGCGGCTTTCCATGTGCTCAGAAATTACATATGTGCTCAGAAGTTACATTAGAGCAAAGTCTCATCAAGGTTTGGGTGTGAGAGTACATCTGTTTATAGGTCACAGAAGTGTAATCATTAATCCTGTCGGAGAGTATCTTAAGTATAGGAAGAGGCAAGGGCTAGGATCATTGCATTTTCTACCATGTTGGCCAGGCTGGTATTGAACTCCTAGCCTCAGGCAATCCACCCGCCTCAGCCTCTCAACATGCTAGGATTACAGGGGTGAGCCACCATGCCTTACCCAAAAACTACTCTTATACTTAAAATAAAACTATCTTTATAAAAATCATGCCAGGCACCATGATGACCACAGGCTCGCACACTACACCCAGCTAATTTTTTAAATTTTTTGTAGAGACAGGGGTCTCACTATGTTGTCCAGGATGATCTTGAACTCCTGGGCTCAAGTGATCCTCCTGTCTCAGCCTCCCAAAGTTCTGGGATTACAGTCGTGAGCCACCGTACCAGGCTGACTTCATTTCTTATAAAAGGTTGCGACCTGCAGTCTGGGAAGTGGGCCTCTGGTCGAAACCAGAGACAGACCTCTCAAAAGAGGAGGGATTTGGGCAGGAGCTGTATGTCGAATGGCTTGGCTAAACATACATCTTCAGCTGGACACGGTGTCTCACACCTGTAATCCCAACACTTTAGGAGGCCGAGGTGGGTGGATCACAATGTCAGAAGATTGAGACCATCCTGGCTAACACGGTGAAAACCCATCTCTACTAAAAATACAAAAAATCAGCCAGGCATGGTGGCATGTGCCTATAATCCCAGATACTTGGGAAGCTGAGGCAGGAGAATCACTTGAACCCGGGAGGCGGAGGTTGCAGTAAGCCGAGATCGCACCACTGCACTCCAGCCTGGGCTACAGAGGGAGACTCCGTCTCAAACACCACCACCACCACCACCACCACCACCACCACCACCACCACCACCACCAAAAGAAATACAATTAGCTCCATATGTCAAAATATGAAGCAAGGATACAAAAGCACTCACTGCACAGGTTCCATAAACCAATTAAAGCCAGTCCCTGCTCAGTGGTCTCTTATCAGGAAAAAAATCACTAAAATCAGTCTCTTGTCCAATCAAAGCTATAGTTAACGGCTTGTGGAACAGGGAATGGGGTCAGTGTCTGGTGATGGATGAACTGCAATTGTTTCCGTATTGCTCATCTCAAGGCCAGTGCTTGTTTAGCTGCTGGAAAAAAATAAATACCTTGCAGCAGTTAGAACATAGTTTATTCTTTGGTGAATGGCTTAACTCTTGCCTGGCATGGCCTTAGGTCTTGTTTATACTTTGGTATCTTATTGCTACAAAGAGTTAATTCTTTCAGTCTTAGGATCTCTATTATTTTTCTTTCTTTTTTGAGACAGCATCTCATTGTGTCATCCAGGCTGGAGTGCAGTGGCATGATCTCTGCTCACTCCAACCTCCACCTCCCAAGTTCAAGCCAAGCAATTCTCCTGCCTCGGCCTCCCAAGTAGCTGGAACTGCAGGCACATGCCAATATGGCTAATTTTTGACGGAGTCTCGCTCTGTCACCCAGGCTGAAGTGCAGTAGCACAATCTTGGCTCACTGCAACCTCCGCTTCCTGGATTCAAGCAATTCTCCTGCCTCAGCCTCCCAAGTAGCTGGGATGCCACACGCCACCATGCCCCGGCTCAAGTGATCCTTTTTTTTTTTTTTTTTTTTTGAGACGGAGTCTCGCTCTGTCACCCAGGCTGGAGTGCAGTGGCGCAATCTCGGCTCACTGCAAGCTCCGCCTCCCGGGTTCACGCCATTCTCCTGCCTCAGCCTCTGAGTAGCTGGGACTACAGGCGCGCACCACCACGCCCGGCTAATTTTTTGTATTTTTAGTAGAGATGGGGTTTCACCGTGTTAGCCAGGATTGTCTCGATCTCCTGACCTCGTGATCCGCCCGCCTCGGCCTCCCAAAGTGCTGGGATTACAGGCGTGAGCCAAGTGATCCTTTTACCTCAGGCTCCTGAGTAGCTGGGACCACAGGTGCTCACTATCATACCCAGCTAACTTGTATATTTTTTGTAGAGACAGGATTTTACTTCCTTCCTTCCTTCCTTACTTCCTTCCTCCCTTCCTCCCTTCCTCCCTTCCTTCTCTCTCTTTCTTTTTTTTTTGGAGAGGCTCTCTGTTACTCAGGCTGGAACGCAGTGGTGTGATCATGGCTCACTGCAGCCTCAACCTCCCAGCTCAAGCCATCCTCCCACTCCAGCCTCCTGAGTAGCTGGAACTATAGGCATGCACCATCACACCCAGCTAATTTAAAAAAAAATTTTTTTAGAGACGGGGTCTCACTATATTTCCTAGTCTGGTCTTGAATTCCTGGGCTCAGGTGATCCTCCCACCTCAGCCTCCCATATGAAATATTTCTAAACCCAGTCACCTAGCCTCCCTCCCTATACTCACTGCTACGCTGGGCTAAGAAGGTAAGGCCATTGAAGTAGGAGACAACCAGGAAGTGTGATGCTGGTTGGGAATGACGTGTTTCAAGGGGTTGGTCAAAACAGGAAATATTACTAAAATGTTAAGTGCAAGCAGTGATCATTGCAATAATTTTGCCACAGTGTTTGGTGACTCATTGATTTTCTGGAATTTACTTGGTATATGGAGTGAGGTAAGGTCAAAATATCCTCTTTCCCCCTAAACGGCAAACTAAATTTTGTAACACCATTTCTTGACCAGGCCCTGTTTTCCAATCCATCTCTAATGTTCCCTCTATCATCCCAGAGATTCTCAAACCTGTACCAGGTCCCTGCAGGCTGTGTTCTGTTGGGAGGGCTCTGGTACTCACCTTACCCTTCTTACTCAATATTTATTTGATACATTCACCTATTTATTCCTCTAGATTTTTCTTTTTATTTTTTAAATTTACTTTTACTTTTTTAAAATAGAGACAGGATTTTGCCACGTTTCCCAGCTTGGTCTTGAACTCCTGGGCTCCAGTGATTCCCCTGCCTCAGTCTCACAGAGTCCTGGGATTACATGAGCCACTGCACACAGCTTTTTTTTTTTTTTTTTTTTTTTTGAGATGGAGTTTTGCTCTTGTTGCCCAGGTTGGAGTGCAGTGGCATGATCTCGGCTCACTGCAACCTCCACCTCCCGGTTCAAGCGATTCTCATGCCTCAGTCTCCTGAGTAACTGAGATTATAGGGGCCTGTCACCATGCCTGGATAATTTTTGTATTTTTAGTAGAAACAAGGTTTTACCATCTTGACCAGGCTGGTCTTGAACTCCTGAGAGATGGGGTTTCATTGTGTTAGCCAGGATGGTCTCTATCTCCTGACCTTGTGATCTGCCCGCCTTGGCCTCCCAAGTCCTGGGATTACAGGCGTGTGCCACCATGGCCTGCCTCTTCTATTCATTAATGAAAGTGGGTGGTTGAAATATGTACTATAATTGTAGAGCTGACTACTTTCGATTCTGTTTTTGTTTCATTGTTTTTGGGGCTCTGTTAGGCACATGAATGTTTCTAATTGTCATATTGCCTTGTTTTGAAACTTTTATTAGTTGGGTGGATCACCTCAGGTCAAGAGTTCAAGACCAGCCTGACCAACATGGATAAACTCCATCTCTACTAAAAATACAAAATTAGCAGGGCATGGTGGTGCGTGCCTGTAATCCCAGCTACTCAGGAGGCTGAGGCAGGAGAATTGCTTGA